GTTTTTAACAATGCAATATCTATAAAAAAATCAAAAATTTTAATTTTCTTTTTTTTTTAATGTTATGGATGGAATATTTAGTTACACATTTTGAAGTTACAGGAGTTCAGAGAAAAAAAAAGTGTCTTTGTGACCAGTACTTTTTGTTCTAACCCTAAACCCATTTCCCCAAAGAGGGTAATTTCCCCTTTTTTTTTTTTTTTTTTTTTTTTTTATGTATATATATGGGTTATATCTATCAACAGCATAATTATAATATTGAATCACTTCGTAACAGATATTACTCGTGTCTGGATTACTGTTTATAGCACAGTCGAGGTTGGACTAAATATATAGGGGCTTGATATTAAGGATTCTTTCACAGAAGTTAGCTGTGCATTTAGAAAGAAAAGTTTGAGAATTCAAGAAATATGATGAATATATAGATCTAGTTAACATGATTGTATGGGTTACTTAGTAAATTTGTGAAATTTAAAACCTAAGTTTTAAAAAGTTCATTAATTATTTCTTCCAAAAACAACAATATAATGCTTGAACTTCGTAAAACAACTTTCAATGAACTTTTTTTTTTCTTTTTAAAGATGTGTTGACCAATCTGATGAAAGCAGCTTCAAAAGTTATATTAGGAAGTTATGGGGAATAGATACATCTGATATTGCTCCCCCACAACAAACAAACTGGTATCTATCTATATACATTCGATATTGCTCCCCCACAACAAACAAGCTGGTATCTATCTATATACATCTGATATTGCTCCCCCACAACAAACAAGCTGGTATCTATCTACATACATTCGATATTGCTCCCGCACAACAAACAAGCTGGTATCTATCTACATACATTCGATATTGCTCCCCCACAACAAACAAGCTGGTATCTACCTATACACATCTGATATTGCTCCTGCACAACAAACAAGCTGGTATCTACCTATACACATCTGATATTGCTCCCACACAACAAACAAGCTCGTATCTACCTATACACATCTGATATTGCTCCCCCACAACAAACAAGCTCGTATCTACCTATACACATCTGATATTGCTCCCCCACAACAAACAAGCTCGTATCTACCTATACACATCTGATATTGCTCCCGCACAACAAACAAGCTGGTATCTACCTATACACATCTGATATTGCTCCCGCACAACAAACAAGCTGGTATCTACCTATACACATCTGATATTGCTCCCACACAACAAACAAGCTGGTATCTATATACACATGCGATATTGCTCCCCCACAACAAACAAGCTGGTATCTATATACACATACGATATTGCTCCCCCACAACAAACAAGCTAGTATCTATCTAAAATGTAAAATTTTAAAATGAATTTTAGCTTGTAAGAGTTGTTAGAAGTAAATAATTATTATTCTTTAATTAATATATTAAAATTAATAAAAAGTTTATTTTTATTTTATTTTATTATTATTTTTTTTTCTTTGTAATTATTGGTGTCCCCAGTTGAAAATTAGCCATTACTTATAACTTCATTTCATCCCAGAAATATTTCAAAACTTCAAACAGATTTTATTTCTTTAGGTGAGGGCAGCTGTGTGCTAAAGTTGAAATCGAGATGACTCCTCCAAAGAGTATTTTATCGACTCCTGGAGCAAGTTCAGACAGCATAGAAACGAATCTCTCTGAAGATCCACCTCAGAGAAAAATGACAAAGTCCAAAAAATCATCTCAAGTAAATAAGAATAGTGACGATTATCGCCGGCGAAGGGAGCGAAACAACCTTGCTGTGAAGAAATCTCGTAACAAGAGCAAGATTCAAACTCAGCAGACTCTTGATCGAGTACAGAAGTTGAAAGCAGAAAATGAAATGCTTGAAGTGAAAATTAAAATTCTTTCAAAAGAGCTAAGTTTTTTAAAAGATCTGTTTTTAGCTCATGCAGGGAATGCCCACGGAGGCAACCTTGCTGCTGTTAATTTTAAGACTTTGAGTGATGAAACAGAGGCAGGTACAAAATCACCCACACCTGAAGTGTAATAGAAAATATTGGATCTCCTTTTTCCATGTTCAGATTTTTTATTTTTTCTCTCTCCCTCACACAGTTGTACATAAATAAATATGTTGCTGTATGTATTGTTTTCAAATTAATTTGCTTATTGCACCTCTGGAGTGCTTATTTTCAAGCGATTTTTTTGCCGGTCATAATGCTTTTACACTTCCTGCTTTGTGTGCAACATAGTCAAGGACAATTAATTATTTTCTTTGTAAAATAACATTAATTGTTTATTTGTGGATCTTTGTAAGAGCAGCAGTATCATATTGCTTAAAATATTCTTGTAATTGAAACTGGTATTAGTTACACTTGTCGTAGTCTGTTTTGTACTGTATACTCAGTCTTCTCATACATCATGTTGTGTATTTACTTATTTTATGGTCACTTTCAATTACATAAAAATTCAAATAAGTTTTCTACATTTATTTTAAATGTGTGTGGGGGGGAGGACAACTTTTATTTTTTCAGGTGTCTGTCTTGAAATCAATCAGCTTTCCAAGTATCATTTTGAATATTAAAATTTAATTTTGTATTTATTTGAAGGGTTTTAGCTGTTTAAGTAAATGTTTGGTTTGCTGTGTAGCCGATTTGTTTAAGTTTGATATATTGTACGTGTGTAGTTTAGACTGCTAGTTAAAATGGTATATCAAAGCTATTTAACTACCAAATGTAATACGTCAAGGCATTGGGTTTGTTTGGCCAGTTTTTTGGCATTGAGAATATTAAGATAGTGTTTAATCGAACTATCAAACTATGGTATATCAAAGCTATTTAACTACCAAATGTAATACGTCAAGGCATTGGGTTTGTTTGGCCAGTTTTTGGCATTGAGAATATTAAGATAGTGTTTAATCAAACTATGGTATATCAAAGCTATTTAACTACCAAATGTAATACGTCAAGGCATTGGGTTTGTTTGGCCAGTCTTTTGGCATTGAGAATATTAAGATAGTGTTTAATCGAACTACGTTTACCAAGTGAGAAATTGAAGCATTTGAATTGTTTAGGTATATCAAATATGTCTGGTTTTAGCAACAATGCTCTACCACTGGAGGAAAAGAACTTTACTCTGCCTTTAGTCTTACATTCTATAGAGTTATCAGTTACAAATCAAACATTAAAATACAGATATGTTTTAGTTTTGGAACATAACTTTTAATAAAAAGGTCATGATTTTGAGGAAACTTTCGTACTATATATATACACCTTATGATAGTCTATTTGATCAAAGTATACAAGAATTTTTATTATTATTATTTTTTTTTTTTAATAGGCTAGACACTGAAACCAAAATGGCTAATTGTTTTTATATTCTGAGAAACTCTTACATTTTAATATTGAAACTTGTAGTGTAAATCACGTATAAACAGATCTTCCATACAAGCAGCAAGAGAAACATTTTACAGTTGTATTTGTTAAAAAAACAAAACTGGCAGTTTAACTAGGATCTGCTGTGTAACTTTGGTTTTGTGGCAAAATGATCAGGTTGGTATTTTTTTAGTATCGCAATCATGAAAAACAATTTTTTTTTTTTTTCTCAAAATACACACTAATCCACTAATTTTAGAGTAAATTTAATATAGAACTTGCAACAATGTATTTTTTGTATTATTAGCTGCTGTTACTCTCATCATGGTGGAAATTGGTCAGAGTTTGGCTACTTAATTTTGATGTTGCACCTAATTTTTACTCACTAAAATTGTTCTGAATGGCTTAATGGTTGCATTTTCAGGTTGCTTGAAATGGGAGGCAAGTATTACTTCCAACTTCTTTTAACAAAATTTAATAACATTATCTTCAAGCCCTTTCTAAACAGTTTTTACGTTTCTTCTTCTGACTAGCCGCCCTGATGAGCCCTGATATTGGGCGAAACTTGTGTCGGCGGTTGTCGGGAATTTTCAGTAGTTGTGATGAAACAAGCTATTATGTTTTGGCTAATTAAAGTACGATTACAATTTTAGTTGTAGGTTTTAAAGAATTTTTATTCAATATACGAGAGTCGAGTTTCTTAATACTTTGATTTAAGAAACGACTGTTCTAATAAAATGCTGCAAACAGTTACATGGCAAATTGTGCTTGTTAGATTCATCATGTATGTTTACATGTTCGTGAAAATAAAAATGGTGCAAACTAAACATTACCAAATGCAGGTCCTTCTCACAAGTTTTTGTGACAACTTTTAAGAACCGGGATAATTGTGTGTATAATCAAAACAAGATACAAATTTGTAAGAAGGTTGAACAATTTATGGAAGATGAAGTAATATTTTACTTTTTAAAACTTTGATCTATTTAAACAATATTGATTTTTTTTTTTTAATATAAATTCATGGTTTTATTGATTGAAGATATGTTGCCCAGACAAATAGTACATTGATGTTTAATTTCTTTCTATTTATCCCTTGATTTCATTTCCGATTGAACATTTTAAGGGTAGTGTTACTTTACACTTAAACCCTAAGATAATTTCGTAATGTTATCATAAAGAACATAAACTTTATACGTTGTTTTTGGAAGTGATGAAATATTCCTCAGTTTTAACTACAGTTTGGTAATTTAGACATCATTGTGTACCATCAAAACACAGCTTCTTATATCAATATTAACTTTTTAATAAGCTTCACAATATATTTTATCAGAAACAAACTGGTACTAACAACCAGTAGTCATCTAATGTTTTAAACAGAAGAATGTGTAAACATCAATGTACTAGAGTTTGAATCACTATGGGCCTGATTAAGGTACTGAGAAGTACATACCACAGGAATACAAGTTTTAGAAACACTCCTACAATCTTCACTGAGAAACCATTTCCATACACATGAGCACACAATTCCCTAGTTTCAGCTCCAAGCCTACTTTCATCATTTAATAGAATAGCATTTTCAGCCATAGCCTCAAATCATCGGCAATCGAACATTAAGACGTTGATATAGATCAGGTATAACTCCCATTGTGGTCACTTTAGTGCAGGTTCAGAGTTAAGTCAGTAGTGAAAATTGGCCATCACTGTTCCATTCCTCTTATTAAGCCTCTTAAGTGTCTAGGTGAAGAACCCGAGTCCAAGTAGTTACCTGTCTGAAACACTTCACGAAAGTTCCAAGTCAGATCTACGATAGCTCTTCCAACCATCAATCCCCAAGGATATGCCGAAGGTTTGGTTCCACTATGTTTCTGTCACTAGATGTAGATTTATTACCAATAACTCCTGGTACGAGTATTTCACTTCTCAGTGGTACAATGACCACTCCCAGTTTTCATTAGGTAGTTCAACCTCTGTTGTACTAATTACTATGTAATTCATAGGGATTTTCTGGTCATAGACTGGGAAGCTATTTGAAATGAACCTAAACTCGCATCCATGCCTCTACATGAAATCAGTTCCCAATATGTATTCCTCCTTGACGTCAGCATTGTCTAATCAATTAATGATTGGTTGTTTGGTGCATTATGGCGCAAAGCAACGAGGCTATCTGCGCCAAATAACCAGTAAAAAAGTGAAAGTAAATTAATGTAAAAATACAGCGAGTTAAAACAAAAAATATGTCCAAAATGTGGATAAAAGATTTATATACAATTAAAAACAACAATATTGCATATAAAAAAATTAAAAATACAATTTAGTCGGACAGTGTCACCATCTCTAATGACACTGTCCAACGTCAAAGGTAAACTCTTACAAATTACGTGTCTAAAATGGTGCCACCGCTGACGGTCGTAACGACTGCACGACAGTAAAATGTGGGCTATTCCGACTTCAGTGTCACAATGACTACACATTGGTGGGTCAATGCCGGATAAAAGAAAACTATGGGTTAAAAAGACTGACCAATTCGTAGCCTTTCCAGGACTACTTCCTTCTTACGGAAGCAAGACTGTTAAAGACCAACAGAAGGTTTGATCTGAAAAAGCTTTTTTTATGACGCTGCTCACCCCCAGGCGACTTCCAACCGGCACAGCTGTGACGGCACCAGAGCAGATGGACTTAGCTGCGGTGTCAGCGAGTTCGTTCCCATGAATACCAACGTGGCCAGGTATCCAGAAAAACTGGATGGAAACAGAAGATAGAGAAAAGTGGGACAGTTGGTGTTGAATATCGGTGAGAACTAACGTTAAGCAATTCCAGGGCCAGTAGAAATCTAAGATATTCAGTGTAAATAGTACAATTACTGTACTAATAGCTTATAAATGACCCAGGGCAAGAGAAATAGCATACAACTCGGCAGTGAACACAAACTGTAGAGGGGGATCATACAAGCAACTACTGAGCCACAGCACACTATGGCAGAGCCTACAGTTACCCGATCTTGAACCACTCGTGTGAATGGGAAAAGAAAAATAGTTCAAAAGATGTTCAGCAAAAAGACGGTACTTCCAATCGGAAGTACCCGCCTTCCTCAGATCACTCAAGGAAAGGTCACAAAGGGATGGTAATAAGCCATGGTGGAATAGGCTGATCATTGGGGACAGCAATGTCATCCAATGCTAGACCCAATTCAGCCAGTTGTGCCTGGATACGAAGGCAAAAGGAAGGAAAAGTAGACCGTCTGTTCCGAAAGAGCATGGCACATCAAGGAAGAAAGATACAATCCCAAGTGGGATGCCATGGTAAGGATCGAAGCTTGGTAGCATATTGTAAAGAAAGTCGCAAACGACGGCGGTGAAGAGGAAGTTCGTGGGACTCAGAGTACAAACTCTGGACTGGATAAGTGCGAAAATCCCCGGTGCAGAGTCGACGTCCCAGATGGTGAATGGGGTCCAGCATTTTCAAGGCAGAGGTCCTGGCAGAACTATATAGAAAAGACCCATAGTCGAGGTTAGACTAAATATGTAGGGACTTGATATTAAGATGTTTCACATTAGCTACCTGTGCATTGTGAAAAGTTAGAAAAATCAAGATCAAGCAACATAACTGCATGGGTTACCGAGCAAATTTGTTCAATTTAAAACCTAAGTTAAGTAATTATTTCTTGCAAAAACAACAAGAACAATATAATGTTTAAACTTCACAAAACAACTTTCTAGGATTTTTATTTATTTATTTTTTTTTTTAAAGATGTGTAGACCGATCTGATGAAGGCAGCTTCGAATGTTATATTGAAGTTATGGGGAATAATATATTATACACAAGCCCATGGGAGAGAAAGATATATAACCCATGGGATTCTAATGCTAAAAAATTAGGTTTCGATCGATCGCTGTGGTGGTCACAGTACAGATTGCCCATTGTGTAGCTTTATGATTAAAAAAACAAGCTAATATCTACCTAAAATGTGAAACTTTAAAGTTAGTAGCTTGCAAAATTTGTTAGTAGTAAATAATTATTATTTTTAATTAATATATTAAAATTCATAAAAAGTTTTTCTTGTAATTATTGGAATCCGTAGTTGAAAATTTGTCATTAATAATAAGTTCAAACAGATTGTTGCTTTAGGTGAGGGCAGCTGTGTGCTAAAGTTGAAATCGAGATGACTCCAAGGAGTATTTTATAGACTCCTGGAGCAAGTTCAAACAGCATAGAAACGAATCTCTGAAGATCCACCTCAGAGAAAAATGACGAAGTCCAAAAAAATCATCTCGGGTAAATAAGAATAGTGACGATTATCGCGGCGAAGGGAGCGAAACAACCTTGCCGTGAAGAAATCTCGTAACAAAAGCAAGTTTCAAACAGACTCTTGATCGAGTACAGAAGTTGAAAGTAGAAAATGAAATGCTTGAAGTGAAAATTAAGATTCTTTCAAAACAGTCAAGTTTTTTGAAAAGATCTGTTTTTAGCTCAAGCAGAGAATGCCCACGGAGGCAATCTTGCTGCTGTTAATTTTAAGACCGAGTGATGAAACAGAGGCAGGTATAAAAGTCAACCACACCTGAGGTGCAACAGAAAATATTGGATCTTCTCTTTCTATGTTCAGATTTTTTTTTCTCTCTCTCTCCCTCACACAGTTGTACATAAATGTTTCTGTATGTATTGTTTTCAAATTAATTTGCTTATTGTATGTATGTACCTCTGGAGTGCTTATTTGAGATTTTTTGCTGGTCGTAATGCTTTTACACTTCCTGCTTTGTGTGCAACAGTCAGGGAGAATTATTTTCTTTGTGAAATAACATTGTTTATTTGTGGATCTTTGTAAGAGCAGCAGTATCATATTGCTTAAATATTCTTGTAATTGAAACTGGTATT